TTCTTATTACTAAAGAATCCACGAAAGGACCGTAACTACATCAAGGCAAATGCCTCATGCAGCGATTTAACAAACAATACATTTTGTTTCAAACTGAAAAAATAAATATGATATCCACTAAATATATCTATTTGATGTCTACAGTTAAGGTGGTTACCGTTTAAAGTGTACTGAAAGTGAAAGCCTTGCGATTATAGACATAACAGACAGGATTGTTGCCTAATATGTTATGTATTATACTATATATTAGACTGTACGTTGTATTATTGCAGAGACGAGAATGCATTTAGACAATTTGATAGAAGATATAGGATCTTTTGGAAAGTTCCAGCTAATAATGTTGGTTGTGGTCATGACGCCTAAATTAGGTAAGTTAAATACAATTGACTTTTGAGTGCATTTGTAGTCTGATGAATCAATATACATGAGTTTTATAGAACGCAATGTTATCATTTAATGTACCTTTTTTATATTATTCACTTTCATCAATATTTTTAACATGTATCACCTTTGGCCACGAGATTGCACCCAAGATCTAATAATTTGCTTGGAACTGATGCAATCATTTCAAGTTACTTTTTGAATGAGGCTTCATGTATTATGTAATCTAGAGTTCTTCGTAATATGTTCGAAGCGTCATTGGAAGTGCACAAATATCTTTAAAATATCCTAATTCATTTGTTATTAATAGGTATTGGATATAATATGATGATAATGGCGTACGGTAGTTTAATTCCTGATTGGTGGTGTATTAAACAAGGGGAGACAATCTTTAATATGACGAACTCATCTTACCAACACTGTGAGGCTTCTCCAGAGAGCAGCAACTCTTCCTGTCAACGTGTTTACGATCCTACTATTTCAACAGTTGTTAGTGAAGTAAGTAAGATAATGCGTCATAACGAACAAAACGAAAAGAGTGTTTGGCATCATAGAATTATGATTTATTATTAATCGCTTTATTATAAAACTATTCTTTTGGACTTTGGACTTGCTGAGAATAGACGACCTGAGGCAAGTATAGTCGTAAAGAATTGTAATATCTTGACAATCGCAAAATATTGATGCATAAATAATTTGAAAGAAAATACCAAGTTTCTATATATTTTTTCTTAAACAGATATAACACTGGCGTTTCCATTTGATTATAACAGAAGCAGCAGCAGCTTTTATCAAACAATTAATTTTCTGGAACCAAATAACGCCGTATCTCTTTTCTCTTTTAGTGGGATTTAGTTTGTGAAAGGAAATGGATTACACCATCAATATCTTCGATCCAGATGGGTGGTGTTTTACTTGGTGCTTTAATTGGAGGACAGTGTGCTGAAACGTTTGGTAGAAAAAAAACATACTACACAACCCTGGCAAGCCAAGCAGCTCTTACCATTCTTATTATATTTTCGGACTCTTGGTATATATACGCTTTTATGAGATTCTTAATTGGTGTGAGTCTCGGATCCTATTTAGTTGTTTGTGTCTTTCTGGTGGAATTCATTAATTATAAGTACAGACCAGTATTAACTGCAGTACCCTTCTGGGCAACTGGTGTTTGCTTCCTATCACTCTCTACTTGGTTGTTGCGGAGTTGGCAGTATGTACATGTTGCTGTTGGTGTTTTCACACTACCATTCTTATTAGGTTGGTTGTAAGTATATTATCAAAATTTCATTTCATTATCATCTAGTTTTATTCAAAGCCACACAAATGTTATCTCTGTGGGGATTGATTTACATGCAGTAACATTAGTTATGGGATCGTTCATTATATCCTTTTTACTTGAGGTAGAAACTTGTGGTAATTAAAATATCCCAGGATGACACCAAGAGCCTCAACAAATAAAACGCTTCCGTTATATCTTTTTTTGGATCAAATTTGTGAAAACTATACACCAAATCTAGAGAAATGTGTCCCTTAACGTATCTGAATGTTTAAAAAACACCCAGCCTTAAATCTTTATAACGCCAAAAATATTCAAAACGTTTACGTAATTTTGCTAAACTTTTTATGTTCGTTATGCTTTTTGGAAGCTTTTAGAAAACTACTATACGGATTTAAGTAAAATAAAGGCCTAATTGTGGAGAAATATGTGTATTCTCTAAATACTAAATAATGAATCTAAAAATAGTTTATATGCTTACTTTACAATTAGTACACTCCGTCCGTTTTTAATTAACTGTTTTACCAATTCAGTTTGACCAATAAGATACTTGGACTTTTTTTGCATGGTGTCTTTTAATTAAGTTATAAGGGTCCTTTCTATCAACTGGTCCTTGGTCTTAAATGCATCCATTTACAGACTGGAATTATGAGTGTAGATAACTTATTCAAGGTCATTGGACTTTCACACGCCGACCGATATTAAAACTCCTAACCACCATTTGTTCGGTGTTACCATTCAAATATCATAAATTTCATAAATTTCATAAATATAACATTTTACCTTATTTCAAACCTATTTATGTGGATAGTGAACTACTGTTTTGAAATACGCTGTAGTATACGCTGAAAAGAAATGTTATAAAATAACTAATGTTCTACATAACTTGACCTATATTGTCACGAGTTACACATTACACCAGTTGTTCTGTGTGTATGTTTGAAAACATTAGGCACACACAGATGTAATAAATCAGTCTGTTGTACATTATATAATAATAATAGACCCAACTCTTTAACCAAAACTATAATTTTCAAATCCTCCCATGAAAATAAAATAGTATTTTGCTTCCTTCTCAATATTCCATTAATTATGTAAGCATTATTTGACTTTCTGAAAGGGCAGAATGGAAACAGCCTCTAAACGGATGCCCCGTTTGCTACAGACTTTGGGCGTTTAAGAAAAAGTATATATGTATTCTTATATTTAGTTTTGATCAGTCTGACCTCTTAGGATGGACATAAAATTTAAAGTCTCAAACTTGACCATCAAGTGTATACGTGTATATTCATCAGTTGGACTTACCAGGTACCATGACTTAAAATTAGAATCTCTATATAAGACACTAAATCCATTAAATTAAATGATTATTGAAACACGCTTCAAAGCAAAACTGAATGGATCGTTTTGTGGGTTTTACCGCGGGCGGCTCCGCATCATTTTTATTGCAGTTAATCCTGCTCAGTATTATGAAGTCATTATAAAGTTAACCAATCAAGCCTTGTCAATTATTAACTTATATTGTCTAGCAAATATTAACAATGTTTCATAATCAAAAACTTGTTAATACTCATCTAATACAATGCTATTTTTGTTCAGTATTGTTCCAGAGAGTGTGAGATGGCTTGCAGTGAAGGGGAGAATCAAGGAGGCTGAGGAGGTGGTAGAACGTATAGCCAAATGGAACGGACGTGCCAAACCCCCGAATGCAACGAGTGTCCTCCAGGCAGTAATGGAAGAAGAACAACAAAGGACAAAGGGTGGAAAACAATATACATATTTAGATTTGTACAGATTTTCTTTCGCCAAACACACTATTATAGTACATATAGTATGGTAAGAATATATATATTTTAATGTTAATTTTTTTTGACTTATGAACATATTAAATAGGGGTAGATTGAATATAGTCTCTGACCGCTGTTTGACCCCAACGTATATGATTTAATGTAAAAATTATGGTTCTAGACAATGAAATCAGACAATAACATAATGTAAAGCGTATTATGTCAAAGGTCAGACATGTTATATCTTGCAATCAGCCGAACTTTAGTGTAACAGTTCATCTACAGTTATCACAAATTATTGCAGATACATGCAGATCAAAGTTACTGTATAACACTTAACGGACATGTTTTGAACTTATGAACGAGACTGTTGAAGTAAATAATATCATAGAATGGAAAATTTCTAGTTTAATACCCTCTGACCGTATTATTTTAGGTAGACATGTTATATCTTGCAAATAGCTTCACCTTAGTTTAACAGTTATCATTATTATTACAGTCAGCCATGCACTTGCATTTGCAAAATACTTGAACTTTATGAATGAAACACAATCATGCAGTATCCTACATAATTTCAGTGAATGGAAAATTTATAGTTTTTAGGTTTTATTAGATTTGCATATTGTGGACACATTGTCTTTTTCAGAGAGTTTTCATACTACGATTTTTAAACGTAATTGCATCCTGCCCAATAAGGATTTCTCTATATACATCAATAATTTACTTTGTGTGCACGTAAATCATTCTTGATTCCAATTTTCATTCAATAGGGAGAATAATATTTATTTTATGAACAAATAACTTATAAATAATCCGATTTTAACACTTTTTTCTCTATAACTTTCAGTCTAAATTGCAATTAAACATTATCTTTTTCGATATATTACATACTCCATAGGGTGTTTCCACATTTTCGGGAGTTGATTTGGGTGTTGAATATAATGTAAATTATACCTCTTAGACACTCAAGAAAAGACGACTCGTCATTTAAACTTCAAACGCGGATAATCCTGGACGAACATAGATTTAAGGGCTCAAATCTGGACAAAGAGCTGTGAACACTATATTACTGATTAGCTGAACTAAAAGAACTAGTTTCAAAGTTATGGTTGGTCAAACAGATGGCGAAATTTACCCTTTAATAAACAGACATTCAACCTATATAAATCAGTTTTTTAAACATTCTGACATAAAACTTCCATCATATCAGTTTAAGCTATCGTCGTTACATGTCAATGTGTCAAGTCAAATGTAATCTGTAGATTTCGCATAAAATATGGTCCATCATCAAAGGTTAAAGTTCATGTAAGAAAACCCTGAATGTGTCATTCGTATTGAAATGACATTAGTATTGAAATCATTTTCATATTCAAACTATTACTGCACGTCTATGAGTTAACTAAGAGGTAGCAGCTTCTTCGTGTATCTCACAACACCAGTTCGCAAATAGAATTATTATCGATTCCCATAAAGCGGACTATATTAGCAATATTTTATAAAAAAAAAACATATTCTATATCTAGGTGGTGTATATCAACATCATATTATGGGTTTTCGTTTGGTGTTGGAAAATTCACTGGAGACTTTTACCTCAACCAATTTTTTATGTATATACTAGAATTTCCGCTTTTTCTACCAACAATTATATTAATGAATAAGTAAGTAAGTCTTCATTATTGAGACGGGCATGTTAAGTGTTTTTTTTTTTTGTTTCTCATCTATGGTTTGAAGACAATTTGACTTGTCTTGGTACAACCAAGGTAGAGTACCTGACTCGCTAGCAACTCATATGGAATTGTTCTTTTTAGATCTTAATTAGATTTTGGAAGATTGTAATGAAATAGATGCTAATTAAAGCGCCATTTCTGGGGGGTTGATTTTAGTCTTGAGTGTATGTAAATAGTCGTCAGAAGTACTAGAAATATACGAAAATCACATAATTCCTTCAAAATACTTCAACTAAAGGAACCTTTGTGACTATTTCAATAATATGTCTTTTCTATGTATCTTAGCATAACTTAAAATGACGAGTCGTCATGTTAACATTGAAACGCGGATAATCCTGGACACACATGGATTCGAGTCTCAAATTTCGACGGTGAGCTGTGAACACTATACTGATTGGCTAAGCTAAAAAGAATTCCCGTTTATGAAACTAAAATATGATTGGAAATAATGAAATGGCGCACCTGTCCCTTTATTAAAGAGTATCTTTCATATGTCATGTAGGAAATTTCATGGTCGTTATGCAGAACTTCTTTATAAATAAAAAAGATCTGTTTCTGACATTTTGACTGACTTGTTTGGTCAGACATGAATTGATCTGGTTGTATCTCATGATTTTTACCACTGTGGTATATAGTGGCGGATGTTGCGTGAAGCAGACCATGCTTACTCTTTTCGAAACACCTGATGGAGCTTCTCTTTGGAGGAATCCACTACCACAAAACTTTTGCTCTAGATTTTGCCACTTTGTGATTTATCTTGAAGCTCTCCAATATCTTATATTTTTTTTTTTGTAATAATTTTTTTTTTATTAAAAAAAAACTATTCTTTATGTTCAAGATATGGCCGCCGTATATTAACAATAGTAAATTTTGTAGCTGGGGCAGCTTGTTGTGTTTTAGTTGTTATCATACAAAATACAGGTAAGATATATCTGATTTAAAATCTTCGTAGACAATATATCCAGTCAAACAGTTGTTGTCAAATTTGGTGGGTCAGTTTAATTTTAGGACATTAGAGGTCCACCATAATGAGTCAATAATATGCTTTTACCATATTCTTTGGTTGATTTTTTTGTTCATCTTTTCCAGTATTTTCCAACACAGGGGGTACAGTTATTACCGTATTATCTCTTGCATGTAAATTATTTGCTAGTCAGGCCTGGGCAGCATTAATAGTTTTAACCAATGAAAGTTATCCAACTGTAGTGAGGTATGTCAAACTACCTTTAATAATTCCGATGAATAACATCAATTAAATTTTAATGATGGAAATTTGCAGTTAATCTCGAACGTTGTAGTAAAGTATTTTTTAATGAACATGGAACTTTATTCTCAAAGCATAAAACAGAATACAATATCTCTTGAGTTGCCACATTTTAAACATCGGCTCCGGCTGCGTATCTCAAGGGAAGTGACTTGACCTTTTCGACCAATAATTTTATTTATGGACTCAGGTTTTACAGAAATCTCGTTGAAAACTTTCCACAATTGTACACGAGAGCCTGACAAATACTTATTATCTCCTGAAATTGAAAGGAAATAGGAAAGAATCCTATAAGTAATGCGCAACAATAACATGTATGTTTTTATTCTAGAAATCTTGGTTATGGAGCAGCAAATACTGCAGCACGAATTGGTGGAATAGCAGCACCTTTTATATTCTCTTTGGTACGTAGAATAATTAATGTCATAATATAATGCAATAGTCTTCAACTTGAATATGACTAATCTATCGTGTCCAACTATCTAAACCATTTTACCCAGAATTACCTTTTTCAAACGGCCTGAACAAATTGGACGTTCTAAATTCGATTATAGAGCTGTTTCACCAAGGATTGCTTTGGTCTCAATAATACCCTATCATTTCTTTGGTCGATCGGTTGTTTTTTTTTTCACGAATAATTTCTAGTTCCTGTGACCACCATTAACTATTACATCCGGGGGAAGATTTGACGCTATCGCCTCAGGCCTCCTAGGGTCGGGTATCGAATTAGTGATCTGCTACTGTTTGTACACATCTTGAAAACAAAACTTCCAAACTGTGATACCGCGAACGTCTTGGTCCCCATATCTCGTCCGTAATCTGTAGTTTTCCGTTAAATCTATCGGACCCCCTTCAGCTGTCAGCGTCAACATACTTCGGTCATTAGCTGTAGATACTCCGGAGTGGTTTCGATCGCTCAAAGAATTCCTGTGATTCGAATCACACGCGAATCAAATATTACGTACGTATGTAATTTATCACTAAATAATTTTTATTTTGCTTGTTTTCAGACTGATAATAAAATGATTCCATATATTGTAACAGCGTTTCTACTGGGAGGAAGTGGTGTTATGACATTTTTCTGGTTACCCGAAACACTGGGTACTGCACTAGAAGATATCATTGGAGAGAAGAAAATTCAGGAAACCAAAATTAATACTGAAATAGACGATAAAAACGACACCGTTTCGTCTTTAGTGAACGATAAAACGGACACCAGAGTGTAATTTCGTAGTTTGCCTACTATACTCGAATATTCGATTAACGTTCCATTATTACCATCAAGCCACTGAAGGGCAAGCCTTTACGACTGCCAAAATTACTTGTAGTCGATTGCGAAACCAAGCTCATAATCTTTTGTCCTGTTATATAAAAATTTGAATTAAGCATCAAATAATGCAACAACGAAAATATTATGAATTAAGTTTCCAGAGTTATTACGGTACTGTTGAAAATCTACAATCTACAGTCTATGAATTGCTTAGTTCTCGTAGAACAATAAGTGCCTTAATCTTTTTCGTTATCAAATTTGATTACAATTTCGTTTCGTTATTTTTGGTGGGTTTCCATTAGGTAGGTAGATGACAAGTTAACGTTCGCTTCAAACGGATGCTGATATGGCAAACTAGGTAGTTGTTGGTAGTCGTAGTTTGGAATGATTCAAATTGATTGATTCAATAAAGATAGGTGGGAAATGATGTTCACGTATGTTTCTACAGTGAAACTTGTTACTTGTTCAGAAATATTTGGAATAAAAATTTAGCCTATCAGTTCAAGACAGATTTGGTAATAAATTTGTAGATGTGTCTGAATATCGTATACCACTAGCCCGTTTGTGGAATCAAAACATTCTGTATGGTGAGTAGTATGCCGTTTGTTTTCAGGTACAATGTCAGTAGCTCACGAGCGGGTTTCAGTTTGGTGCGCTGAATGATGAGATGCGACCTATTGTCGACATGGTTGCATCGACATTTAATAGCGTTGAACTTACGGTCTCGTAGTTCGTTCTTGGTTTGGTTGTCTGGTTACCAGTTTGCATATGTTTACAGCTGGATGGTTTGTTTGGTTTGGTGTCTTCGGAACAATCTGGTATCTAGGGGTGTTGAGATTCCTTAGCATGTCAGTCCATTCCTGGTTGATTCTAGATAATACGACGCTACAAAATTCCGAATTGGAGTATTCTACAGGTTCGAAACTGAAAAAAAAACGAAACGAAATTGTATTCTTATTACTTTAATTAGATTGGTGTTTACATTCGATTACAGCATTGATAAGAATATTTCAAGTCTATCTATGATGTGAATTAGCTGTTTAAACTTCTGCATATTTATTTAAAAGAGAGCTTGCCAGGCAAGGTAAACATACGCCCACACAACAGCTTTGTTAAATTTTCAAAAACCATTTGATAAAATAAAAGATTCTAAAAGGTTAAGGAACACAACTATAAACAAATTTAGCATTTCAAGGGAAGCAACCTGCACTGACAAAATTTACAATAAAAATATAGACTTAATGCTTATAAATTTCAAATTTATGGCATTAAATGTCATTAAAGATTAATAAAAAATATATAAATTAACAAGGCTGTATCAAATATCTTATTTTCTTACCCAGGTCGAATTTGTAGTAGGTACTGAAGTAGGGCATACGAAATCCTGTTAGTTTCACCTTCATAAAAATATGTATGCCAATGCGAAGGGCGTTCGGATTATATGTAGCCCCATGTTGATTTTGTAAGTAAAAGTTGCGATTATCACAAAAAAATAATTTTTGAGAAAACGCTGTGTCTCAGATCTCTGGAAATAGTGCTGATGGCCTTTTTATTCTTAAAAAAATGGTGGAGCGTCCCCGAACATACATCGTTCGATTAGTAAGCATTGCATAGCGTCTACATAAGTCAAATTTTGAACAGAAAAATCGGACGTCAAACTCAATTTCAATAACGACTTTAAGGTGGACTTTCGTTTGTAGGCCGTTTGTAGTCTAGAATGTTAAATTTTTAAAAAGTTACTTCCCTTCGTGATTAGAATTATCAAGTAAATCAATATATAGTTAATGTATAATATATCTTTCAATGCATCAACCTGGAAGTCAAAACATTCTCAATTAGGCACCCCACTTTTAATTTTACCAAATCGTATCACAAAGCATGCCATTAAACGCTCGATAACTTAACTTGTATTATTTTGTTTAATATAAGTAATCGTGTCTCAACTTGTTCCACGCAACCCACTTACACATTATAGACTGGCGTGCATAATTCGACTATCTAACATACTTCCATACATTCTTTATTGTAGTCTCTGTTATCAAGACTACACTTTTTAAAGTAATCGAATGACTGGATGACCAAACATAACTTCCTGACTACATGTAAACAAAAATAATTTTTCCGTGATTTCGCCAAAATATTGAAGTGCCTCACGCCACTATGGCAAACAGTTCCATTATTGTCAATACGCCAACAGATACATTTAAGTTAGAGGGCAGACCATGTGAGATATCGGCATATTCGTTCGTGCCTACTCGCAGGAAGGTTAGTCCGGAAAGAACGGTTTTCAACACACCTGTATTTTTGAACCAGGACAATCACAATAACCAGGTAGGTATTGTTTACAAAATAGAGTAATTGTACACGTGTAGAATGAACAGTATATTGTCTTTTATAATTTGTTTTTGAATATTGTTCTGTTCATGGAAATATGAGGTTTGATTATTTTATAGCTTAAAGGAGCACTGCCTATAGAAACGTATTCAAATACTGAAATATTTCAAATTTAAGCCAAAAGTCCTCAATTATATCTTGACAGAAACTGTCACTAACCGTCAAGGTATCATTAACTTCATCGCCTATATAGTACACATTTTGATAATTGGAATATGATAATTTGAATCGTGGCATGTAGGCTATGACAGGTTGGAGTGAAACTCTTGCGATAGAACTGGGTGTGGTGTTCTAATGAAGTTAGAAATTGTTTGATGATTCAACGTAAAAGTTTCCTAAATAAATAAAAGTTTGACTAAACTTTCCATTGTGAATGGAATCAAAAATCTCTACCCTTCATGTTACTTTAATGAAATGTTAACTGAAAAGAACTGGATTTCAATTTTATGAAATCAGGCATTGTTCTTTCGATTATTTCAGACAACAAGACAGAGTATTTATGACAGAATATTTGATAGTGACAAGGGTTTTAATCAAATCTTACACCGAGATGACAGAGAACATGCCAAATCATTGGGGCTGAATATACATCAAGAGGTAATTATTATATTCTCCATGGAGGAAAGAAATTTTTCTGTAAAGGTATTGTAAAGTGATTGTCTAACTTTTTTATAAGTGTTACATTGATCTATTTGTGTGTAGTATTTACATTATTCCAATTTCCCAACAAATGTCTGTGTTTTCTATTATCGCAATGAACTGCTAATAACAAATATATACGTCTATGCTATAGTGATATATTAGTTTTAGTGGAATTGCAAGACTCAAAGACGTCAGACGGAAAATTGGAATGGTGCAAATGGATGGTATCAGTGTCGTCGATACACATGCAGACTTTAAGAAAACCACCATCAATCCCTTATCTGCATTATTCAGAGTCAGTAAAAGATTGCATTTTCTGAAGTACACAAACATTTTCTAATATATACAATTAAATTTCTTTTCGATCCATACAAATGCTTATATAAAACCAATTTCTTGCAGGAAAAATATAAAATTGTTCCGTCCCTTTCATCAACAGAATATGGTCATAGATTAGATCCTGGTATAGAGAAGAGAGATTCTCAACATGTCCGTGTTGGATATGTACAGTCTGAGTTCTATCGCAGAAATATGTTTTAATTTTCAAACTTTTAAAACATACTGATTGTATATCAATATTCTCGGTTTGTATCACTTTTAACCATTTAATTGAAATTTCATTATAATATATTATCCAGATATTTCGGTACATACCACCGATGATGTGAGGACATTTTTATCTCTTATTTCTTATTCAGCATAGACAATAATGCATTTTAACGAATATCCTGGAATATCTCTCGTGTGGTAGTCAAATATTTTATTCAACAGATCTTATTTCAGAAGCCGAATAATGCAGTGACCCAGACACAATTTCTTTAAATCATGGATGACAAAATATAGTTTAGTTATTCGTAGAAAAATGTACATCTAGATCTGTATTTCATTCCGATTGACTTCATTATATTGCAAACCAGATATCAAAACCTATGCAGAGATGAATAATATGAAGGGAAATTATCATTTTCCGTATATTTCAGTTCTATTATCTATTTAACTAACTACGCAATAAGCAATGATATTTTTATTATGTATTATATATAATATTAAAAAACAAACGGAAGTATGACTTTGATTATATAAAATTGAGAATTTGCTTCCTTCTTTTCTGTAACTGTTTCGGTTAATAAAAATGGACAACAACAAGCGATGTGTATTGTGTACAGTGTTTCGATTGTCAACATGTTCAGTGTGCATACTCTGAAAGATGCGGGGCTTCGATTTCTTATCGTATTGAAATAACTTAAAGCCATTTCCAGATTAGTCCCTTAAACGAATTGCAACACTGACAAAGAGCGGTTAGAATGCGTCATTGAAAAAAGGCTGAAGTGAGCGCTCAACCTACAACCTATTTATCGCATTTCGAGCAATGAATTAAAATTTGAAGACAACGTCATAAAACTGAATTATTTTAATTAATGTTTCCCATCACCAAAAACGGATGTGGATTCACAACCAATCAGATTCAATAGCCATTGTAGAGTCGGTCAATTACAAAGATATTTTGCAACCTGTCCCGGCCCTCTTTCGGACCTGATGATGGAGGCTAAGAGTGGAACAGAACAGTTTTCGAAATCGTTTTTGTCCTGCCTTTCTAATTCATGTGTTCAAACAATAAAAATTTTGGAAAAACTATGAAATGGGAAACAACTCCTTAGGATGATTGTAGACAACAACTAGTATGTTTTGGTTACTGTCAAAGTTAAGTCCTTCAAGTGGAATTTTCGGTGGTTAATTTGGACCTTGAATATTATGTAAATATCAAATCATTTTTCCTTGAAATACTAGAGGCGAAAATGTGTGAATAAAGGACACTTCTAATTTTTCCGACCTTGAACTTTGAAAACCACCAATTTGACCGAAACTTGAAACACATGAAAGCAATGTCTAATTGTGCTAAACTCGTAAACAAATAGGACATTTGTAATGTTTCTACACAAGAAAAATTAATGCAATATTGACAGCCAGCATGTCTCAATTCATATTTTCACACCGTCCCAGAGAGAACATGTGGATTGGTTGAACCAAGACGACGGGTCCTCACTCCAAAGGGGGCCCCCATCCTAGAAAAAAAAAATCGTTAAATCGTCCATTAGCATGGATTAAATTAGCTTTAAAAGGGGTCTAAGAATGCTAGAGAGTATAAGAGTATAATGTAAAAAAGTCCGGGTGAGAGGCCTATCTTTTACCCCAGAAGGACTTGTAACAAGGATTTAAAACCAGGGATACATGATTACATATCTGTCTTGAACCTACAAACAGAACTGTTAACTGTTGAAAACTGCTTCATACGCCTTTTAACATTTGAAAATTTCAGAATACCAGTAGATGCAGCTGCAAGGGCACCAGCATGAGTGTACGTGCTTGTACACGGTCCTGAATAATGCAGGTTCACAGGGACTGAAGTTTATGAGATAACAATATCGCAAATAGTTTAATATTTTTTTTAATTCAGTCCTTGAAATATATTGTCGCATCCCCAAAACTTTATCTCTTTAAGTTAAAACAGAAAGCTGTAATACTATCTGACTCTGTAGCTTTCTTTTCTATTATAAGGCAATTAACTGTTAAATTGTATTTGGTCACGAAACCATCTCTAGAAATCTATTATCCACTGGCAGAACAGTTTATTCGTAATCACACCAGTTATCTTTGTTACCAACAGATACAAACCTATCGTTTATCATAAGAGAAGAACCATCATTGCTCATAACTGAATCATATCAATTTTAGGTTTTCACTTCAATCTTTGTAGTCATTTTGAAATCTGTATAGCACTCATTCAGGCACAGGCCGTTTAGGCACAGCGTTGTTTAGGCACAGTGATTTAGGCACTTCTTCAATTAAGCACATTCAGTCACACTATTTTAAGGTTTCGAATGTGTTATGAAAATTACATCATACCTGATTTGAACGTGCCTAAAAGAGCGTGCGTAAATGAAATGTGCCTAAAAATTTCATTTTAATGTTTATTTTTTTATGATTTATTCTCTTCCAGAAAATAGCTTCAATTTTATCCACATGCAGATCTTTTAGGAAAAGTTACTCAAGGTAAATTAACTACACAAAAAGGATAAATAGCAATTTCCAATATGCTATGTCAAGTATTTAACGCTTGCGTTTCTTTTGTAGCTGAATATTATCAAGCTTTCATGTCTGTCATTTTGAACAGTCTTATTCTAATCATGTCTGACAATAATTCACTCCATTCTTCCATGTTAATTAGGCACCAAATAACAGGATATACCGAAATCTCTGGAGAATGCTAAAAACTATGAAATAACGCCATAACTTCCTACAATTAGCAATTACAACGCAGCTCTTGATTACATACAAAAATAACCAATGACACAATCTTGGCCAGCTTTATTACACAAAGCACATAGTCACTGTAAACCTGTTCGTGTCAAGGAAATTGTATAAAAGGCAAATTGCATACATCCGGGGTTATTCACTAGGCACGAAGTTACGGAAGTCAACGGGCAGACCACCCTCCCCCCCCCCCCCCTAAAAAAAATTAAAATCACGAAATTCAACCATTTACCACTCCCCAAATCCTATTTGCCCCTACAGATAAATTTTCCACCCCCTCCCATTACCCCCTCCCTTAACAATCAAGTCTGCATTATTCATAATTCCTGTCTGACCTGCATGATACTTCCTATAGTGACGGCATAATTAGGTCAAATTTAGATTACAGGAATCACAGACATGTCCTTTGAATCCAATATTAAGCAACGGCTATATATTCATCATACTCTATACGACTGATTTCTCTTCATTTTTAACAGGTGCGAAATGGTTAAGAGACATAAATAAATTCGTGAAAAATTCTCACACTTAAAAGCACATAAAACATTAGCTGTGAGTACGATATGTACAATATTTTACACATCCAACGATTGTGCAATCTGTAAAATTTATTGTGACAGACACAGTTTACAGTGTATAAGTTGTAGTGGCACTAGTTGAAGAAAACAATTATAAACCAGGATGAGAATATGTCTCTGAGGATCTTTGATTTATTAACCTTCTCTAAAACTAGCATCAAGAAATGCTCCAAGTCACGCACAAGACTAGTAATTACAACATCTATATAGTAATCATTGCGACACACTGGTATTGGTCATTATGATATATTGATATAGATGGTCCATCGATGACCGATTCAGTTTTGTCAAATTTAACTCCTTCAGTTGTGGAGTATATTGTCGGCTAAGGTGAAGGCATCAGAAAACTAAGACCCATTATTTACATTTTATTTAAGGTTTTCAGGGGAAAAGGAGATTAGTAGTATTCGTTTAACCAAAACGAATAAAATACCATGCTGGTAAGCCCATCTATCAATTTATTGGGGACAATAGTGTTAACATACGGCTAAGATATCTAGCCATTTAATACAAGCTGATAATCTTCAAGGATAGAGTAGACTTCCGGTGAGTTCGAGTGAATACATTAATTAGATTTTAACAGCATGTGGTAAAGGAACATTGATAAAAGATCTGAAAAAACATTGAAAGAAAACCAAAAACCTTTGAATTCCTTCAACTTTTCTTATATTACTATACGAATAATTTTAAAACGGAAAACGACGCATAGTCGGACAATATACTTAATTAGAAAGATTTCTTTCTGGATCAATTCAATAGTATAAGACAAGACTGGTCCTTCTTTCATAGAGATGGCACGATGGTATGTACGATAACCTTAGAAATTATGTAACATTTAAAGTCTTGCCGAGAAAATTTAATGACATTTCGCTCATTAATCCGTACATAGAATTTTACCGATTTTTTTTACGAGAATAGAAAAATTAATTCCACAATAGCACTGTGGTGTTGATAAAAGAAAAGAAAACATTATCAACTTCCAAATTTGTTTTCACAGAGGACAATTTTCAGCCAAACTTTGAGATATTTTTGGTCGAAAGTCTAGATTAACTTACAAAAATTCTATTTTAGTCCATGCACGTAAGGTCAGCCTATGTCCGGGGATATACAATAGCTTTTGAAGCTGATATGAACATTCACAACATTCGATTAACCGATGAATATGTAAAAACAGTAAATAGTCCAATTTCGTTTTATGAAGCGAGTATTTTTGGAGGAAGAACCGTATACCCGAGGTTCCCACTAGTTTTCGAATAGCGACCCCATTCCAGAAACCTGCAAAATTGGAACATTTTTTTAGATAAGCGCCATTTATGTGGGGGGCGGGGGGGGGGTACCATGAAGAGGGGGGGGGGGGGGGACTCCCCCACTAAAGTATTTCCACAAACAGTTAAATTGTTGTAAAAAAGACCCTCAGAGTTAAATATTTGTTCGGCGAATTTTTTGGAGGAATCTTTTCCCATACAATTACTTGATAAAAGAACACACATTGTTATTATTTTTTAAGCATTTACAATGATACGTGTCTGAAATAAGTACACTATAATAATTTCCTTGAAGGTTACAAGGACGCTTTATAGGCAAGATAATTTATGTTAGGACATTTGAAACATAAACCATCACTAGCACGAAATATTTATAAAAAAAATG